AAGGAGATTCACAGTGACTTTGGTGGGATGTCCTTTGGGGGATTCTCAAGTGCTGCTGGCTAGTGAAGGTAGCTCAGAAAGCTCTGTTTGTGTAATACTGATTTCTTCTGCATACAACACAGCCCCTGCTCTAATGTGCCTTCTTCTTGCCAGACAATTGTTTGTCTTGAAATGTTACATTTACCTCAATTGCATGAGCAAAAGCCTCAGCTGATGTAAAACAACCTAGCTCCAGTTTTGAACTTTTTATTGTTATGTGTTGAACTCAATGGAAATTTTTAGTGAAAGATCATGCGGAGTTTTACAAAAGTAACTAAAAGCTGTTATTTTCGTTTTACAGATGGCAAAACAGCCTTCTAAGGATTCCGTGTGACCTGCCTAAGATCAGTCAGAAAATTAATGCCAGAACTGGTAAGATAAATCTGATCTTCGAATATGCCATTCTTTGCTCTAAACTACAGGTGGGTCTGCAGCCCCTGAAATTGGCCGTATGCTCAATAATGTTTCAATGTACAAGTATATTTTACTGGTCCTTATAACGCACGTCAATGTATGTGTCTTTCCATATGTATTTTTAAAAGCACATCATTACTGGAGACTTTAACTAGGCATCATTAGCCAATTGCTATATCGTGAAAATGGAAACATCTCCCTAAACCATATGCTTAGCACTAGAAATTAATGGATACCCAATACCTAAGAGAAGATCGACAAAAGCATCCAGCAGTTTGACTGAGATAACATATCCACTGAACTCTATTCTCTGCCATGGGGTATTAGTTAGGTCTGTTCTCAGGAGCTCAGGGTCCAAAGTGTATCCAGAAGACTGAACTCTGAAATGCTTTACCTTTGGCATGCGTTGGCTAAGAACTAACTGGGAGTTCCCAGTACTGAACCTGGCCACCCAAGAACTGGGATAGAGGTGCAAATCAGGGGGAGGTTGTTTTGCTTTGCCTTTCTGAACCTCATTCATTAACCCAAGATATTTCATTAATTTAAGAGAAGCAGGAAATAGTGCTTAAGTAACAATTGCATAACTTAGAGTACCGTGAAAGTATGTCCGTGATGTGCTCCCTCCTGTTCCTACTAACGTGCACTGTCTAATTCAGATTTCTCTGGGATGATTATCATCTCATGAAACTTATGTTCCTAGGTGAACTATATGTTCTGCTAAACAAAGGAAAAGTTCTCACTAACATCTGCACAAGTTCATTTTTAGGAGACTGCCACAAGGAGCATCTGAATTTAGCAGTGTCTAAATTCACTTGAAACAGTCTAACCTGAAATGACCAAAGATAACTGGTTTATAGTTATATGATAGATGGAAAAATTTGGGCTGGCAGAGTGCTCAAGAAGCAAGGTGCTCAAAGGATTTAAAGCATTAATTGCTTTAATATGTACATATACATGTTTGTATGTATGTTTATGTGTATACCTACGCATAGATGATTGGTTTATACTGCACAGTACTTAAAGCATGAAGCAGGAACAGGAAAGCTGTTGGCGCCGAGATAACTGATCTCGATCCTGTAATTTCTGGTGCACTTTGCTTATGAACTCATATACTCTCTAGATTTTTCCTGTAATTAAAAGAAATCTACTGTGTAGCAGAGGACTTTAATGTTTTTTCCTGAATCTTTACAGGGTAGTTAAGTCATGTTTTCTTCACTAGAACTTGTATCTACCCTTTGCGTGAGTTTGGAATGAAAAAGTTTCTGACAAAACTCAGAACTAAATAACATGTTGTCCCAAAAGTGTCCTGCTATTCTCAGTGCAATAGTAAAAGACCACTGCAATGTAGGCACACAGAATTTAAAAAAAATAAAAATTAAAAATTTTAAAGTGTTTAAGGGAGAATTTTAAAACTCAATTGAAACTGTTGTTCTGTAGTCTCTCACCTGAAGACCTTTACTAATGTTAGACTAATTCTCAGAAAGAAAATAAAAGGTAATTAATACATTTTCAAAAAATCTTATAATAACCAGAAGTAATTTTTTTTTCTGTATACAAGGACATCTCCATTTTGAAGCACATTATTCACAGTCTATCTAGGGATATAGGTAACTTCTTTTTCTGTAAATGCCTTGCTAATTGCCTTAAGATATTGCTCCTGGATGTAGTTCTAACTCTTCTAGACACGGGGTAAAACCAGATTTTGCATTGGAAACACCACACTTTGCAGAAGTAAGAAGACAGATATTTATTGATGGCTAGGTTTTAAAATTGTCATCTCTCTGAAGCCGCTCAGAGACTAAGTGTTAGATTAACTCAAATTTGTGATTGGTGATCAGGGAGATGACAATTTACTGCAGGTAAGGGATTTTCTGTTGCAAAGAAACTGTCCAGATTCTATATGTGAATTTTTACAATGAGGGAGAGAAAAAACCATATTTAAATTGTGAGCTTCTTTGTGTTTTGTGAGTTCTGTGAGGTGGAGTCGTGAAAGTCACTGGAGTGATGAAGCTCACGCTACTCTCCCCAGCACGAGGATTGGGCCCTAATATACTCAATATTTCCTATTTCACTGCAATTTTTCCCAGTTCGCTGTCCTGTTCTTGTCTAGGACAGACTTGCAAATTTTATGACCTGTGTTATAGGCTTACAGATGTGAGTTTTGGGGAGCTTCATACAAAGGTGAACAGTGGGAAGTTTGGTCTGAATTTTTTAAAGGAATGGGGAAAGACTAGATCTTATGAAGCTAAAACACTCTTGAGCCTTGGGGACTACACGCTCAAATACCTTTGCCATGGTGGGTCACAGCTGAGCCTCTCTAGTATAATAATACTTAGCAGCTACAAAACACTTGTCCTCAAAGTATTTTATAAGCACAATCTAACTGGCATCTGTTTCCACCTCCTTCTGAGAAAGATTTGTTTTCATTTCCAGTATGGGGAAACTGAGGTACAAAACTCCCAAAACCCTGCTGCAGACTGGTAGCATGGTGGGAGCCAAATCTGGTGCTCAGCTTTCTGCCTGGGACAACACAACCCAGACATGAGGCACTGGGTCCAGCAAGCATAAGCCTGAGACTTCAGTGGCTTTTGGATGCTGAGATCCCTTAAGCTAGATGAAATGTAAATATATGTTGGGTCTGTACATATCATTTCTCCAAAGAGCCTATGGCCATTCCTCTGGACTTCCATACCACCAGCTCAATTCCTTACAGGGATAGCTGTCTGTCCTTCCACAGCTGTCTTTGTAAGGTGTCTGAATGTCAAACTGTTATTATTTCAATACCTGACTGAGAGAGTAACAGAGACCTGGAGGTTTTTTAGGAGGGTGTATAATTAGCCGATCAGTATTATGTTACCCTGTTCATAACTTAATAACCATTTTAATACAGATGGCACACACAGGGATAATTTCCTAGGGTAGCCTAGCAGTATATTACAGAGACAGTGTGTCTGAGGGAATCTTTCTTAGCCAAGGTACATTCCACTAGCTAATTCTACCTGCTGTTTTCAAGATGATTTGGGATAATTCCATATCATTTGCAAAATATTAAAACCCATTTATATAGGATGCCAGATTTAGAAATACACACTCTGAGTTATTAGACATATTTTGATAAATCTGCCATGAAAAGTGCAAGACAAAAAAAATACCACTGTTTTCCTTGCTATTTATTTTTTGCTTCTCTTGCTATAAATACACTAGGTTTTGGTTTTGTTTTTTTAAATCTGGCTAAATTTGTTATATATCAAAAAGGCCAGTATACCGATTTGTGCATTTTATCTATGTAGACACTACAAAAGCCTGCATGTTTTTATACCCTGTGTATATTTATTTGGCTGGGAAGAGCCATACATTTGGAATTGCATCCAAAATTTCGTGTATTTTTACTCTGTTGGTGAGGTATTTCATGCCTATGTATACTCTGTTTCTAGAGGTTGTATTTCTGTGGGCACAGTCGGGGTATCTGTACATACATAACACTAAAACGGTGTAATTACTTTTACTGTGTGCACAGGAGTGTTGTGTTGCCAAAGTGTGAAGATCTGATGTACGTTGTGTTTGAACGTGCAGGCATGTGAGCACTCTGAGCGCTTTGACGTCTGTCAGTACTTGATTATATCTATTCCTTTTTCTCCTGCATCGGTCCTGGTTTTTTGCCTGTCATATAGGTTTTTTTGTCACCTCAAACCTGAGACCAAATCTTAGTCCCTCCAACAACAAAATCAACAAAATCTGCACCCTAGTAGCCGGGGGAGGAAATGGGGAAGGCGGAGGGGGCAAATGGTTCGCTAGTGCAAAATCGATCCTGCTGCTGCCCAGCCTTCTGCGAGATCAGGGATCAGACCGACTCGGGGCCACCGGCACCGCGGGGAGCAGCGCTCCCCAGCCGGGTAAAAACCTCCCGGCAAATTCAGCCGTTCCCTCGGGCTACCGATGGCGAGTGAGCCGGGGGAGTGGGTGCAAGGGAATCCTTCCTCCCGCGGCTGTGAGCCCGGCTTGGCAGAGGATGACGGCAGCCTTTCGGCTCAGAGCTCTAGTACCCTGGCAAGGCTGGAGGTCATCTGCACCCCGGTAGGGGTGTTCGAGGGACACGGGAAGCCCCGGCCCCGCAGTCCCTGACCCCTCCAGCCTGAGCAGCACCCAAACCTTGCGGCAGTGCCGGGCTGCTCGGCGGGAGCTCGGCTGCTGTGGCAGCAGCGCTGCCCCGGCCCCGGCTGCCCCCGGGCACAAGCTGCGGGCCTGCCGCGGCGAGCCCCGGACAGCCCCGCGCCCCCGCTGCTCGGGGCGGCTGCTGCGGGAACGGGCGGCTCTTTCCCGTCCCGCTGCCGCGAGCTGGGCTCCGAGGTCACGGCGAGGCCGGGCAGCGCCCGCTGGACCGGGCCGGGGACTGGCGGGCTGTGCCCGCGGGTCCCGCTGCGGACCGGGGACCGCAGAAGGCTGGATCTGCCCTGACCGAGGAAGGATTAGGCCGTCCTCGCTGTTGGAAGGGGTTTTATGGGGCCGTAAAGATGCGCCTGGGCCGCGAGCTGCGGGGTTGCTCTTACCTGTTTATGGAGGAGACGCTGGGGACCGTGTCGTTGTCGCAGATGCCCTCGGCCAATAACCTGTCCCGGATCTCCCAGGCGAACATTGTCGGGTTTTGTCTCTTGTACTCGGCGATTTTATCCACTACTTTGGGGGTGGCCACTTTGGGTTTGGAGCCTCCGATCACGCCGGGCTTTATGCTTCCCGTCTCGTAATACCTGCACAAAATATGGTCAGTGGCCTGCCGTCCTCGAGCACCCAGAGCCTCAGTGGCCCTCAGAGCACCCCGCAGCCCCTGCCCCCTGCCCCACCTCGGCTTCGGCCCGCGGGTACGCGGCCTCGGGCCGTGGCCGCTCGGGCGCTGCATTTCGCCGCTTCGCGAGGCGCCAGGCGGCATGACCTGGGGCTAGGGCAGTCCCTTCTTCTCTCTAGGGCTCGCTCTCTCTCTCTTTTTTTTTTCCTTTTTTTTTTTTTTTTTTTTTTGGTTTTGGTTTTTTCCCCTTTTTTTTTTTTTTTTTTTTTTTTTTTTTGAATGTGTATGTGTGTGTGTGCTAGAAGCGAGGGGCGCTGCCTCCCCCTTACCCCGCTTTACACGCACACACTTCTTTTAGGCCCTGGGGTCGAGAAATTAAACAGAAACCCTCTCCCCGATGCCGCCGCCCATAGATGAAGCCCGCCGAACGCGGGATCGGGCCGGGCGGCCGGGAAGGGGGCGTGGGGAGCGGGCAGCGGCGGGCTCGCACTCCCCCGCCTGCATCTCCCGGCCGGCCGCTCCCGAACCGGAGCGCTGGCCGGGCTGCGGAGGAAGGAGAGCGGCTTATCCCGGCCCCGGGGTCCCTCTGGAGCGGCTGCTCGTACAGGGCAGCGCCAGCCCGCTCTCCGCTGTCCATTAGCTCCGCTAGACGCCGGCCGCGTTTCCGTGCCGGCGTGGCCGGGCACGGCAGCGCGCGTGGCGCACGCTCCGCGGCGGGGGCACCGCCGCCTGCTCACCGCAGCCCAGCGCCGGCCAGGGCCTGGCTCTCCCCGAGGAGCCCCCAGGGATATTGCACACCTCATTTGGCGGTGATCGCTTACCGCGGGCATTTGTTTATTTATTTATTTATCCGCCCCGTTGTTTGTTTATTTACCCGTGCCTTTGGTAAAGCAGCTTACGGCTTGTTGTGAGTTAGGATTTTTTTTGTTCCTCATGGATTGGGGATTTTTGGTCGTTCTTTCGTTTTCTGTCTCCCGTCCCTTCTCTTTCCCGCCCTCCCACACACTCTTCTCGAATTATTTTGTCTTCCCAGGAGTTTTTAAACACTACCGGTGAGGGAAGGGGGGAGGCGGGGGAGAAACACGTCCTTGCCAGCTGGAGGATGGGGCCCTGCTCAGCCGCGGGCTCCCACTGAGCGAAGGTGCCGGGGCCGCTCGGGGTCGTGGCGGGGAGAGCCCGGTGCCGCGGGAAGGGCGGAAGGTCATACTGGAGCGGGGAAGGGACGCAGCGTTGCAGTCTCAGGGGAGGGGAAGGAGCTGCCTCTTTCCTTACCTGCCCAAGATCTTGCTGACACAACCGTGGCTGACCCGCAGCTGCCTGGAAATGTCACAGGGTCGCACCCCCTGGTGAGCCAGCTCCACTATCCTTTGTCTCACCACGTCAGGTAGGGGCCTGCCGTTCACAAACACCCCTCCGAGCTGGTTCACACCCCCGTGCCCTGCTGGGGAAAGAGAAATAAAAAAAACACAACAACCCACGCACACCAGAAACACACCGTTAGTCGTGGATTCTTTACCACTCGCGCTGCAAATTCTCCAGACATTACAGATGGATGGAGGTGATGGCGGGGGGTCGAGAGTGGGGAACAGGACGTGGGGAAGTGAGAGAAGATAAACAGGGAGAAGGAGAGAAAGGAGATAAAAACGGGGAGAGTGAGAAAATGAGAGCGATAACAAGAGAAAGAGAAAGAAAGAAAGAAAGAAAGAAACAAAGGACTAACGAAAGAAAGAAACCAAGGAAGAAAGAAAGAAAGAAAGAAAGAAAGAGGAATGATGGAAAGATGGAAAGGGACGACAGAATGAATTTTCCCGAGACGGAGGAGGATTGTTCTCCACCTTCCCGTGCGCCGCCCTCCCTCCCCGAGCCGCTCTCCCGCGGTCCCGATCGGGATGCCGGAGCGGTGGATTCTCACGGCCATTGTGATGGGCCGAGCATGGAAACAGCGCCCGCGCCCGCTCCTCAGCCCCGGAGCAGGGCAGCGATGCCCTCCCAACTCCAGAGCTCGACCTCTTAGAGGCTCCGGGCGGACTCTGCCGCAGTCCCCTTTCTCTTTATTCCTGGGCTTTTTCTCTCATTTTCTTTCCAGGATTTTCTATCACGTTGTCAATTACAGTTCCTCGCGAACTCCGCCCTCCCTCACCCCGCGGCATGTCCCCCATGCAAGCAGCTCTATCCCGTTATTTTGGGATGCGAGTTGAAAAGACTCACAGAGAAAAAGAGAAAAGGAAGAAAAATGAAGGGAGAGAGATAGAAAATATTTTGAGTCCCGCAGCTGGTGTTCCTTTACAGACAGACCCTATCTCTCATTAGCTTTCGATCTTTACAGGAAAAAAAAAAAAGATTCCAGAAAAAAAAATAATAGACTCCTACTCTTACGGGTTTAGGTTTGGTTTTTTGGGGTTTTTTTGTGGTTTTTTTTTTTTTTTGTGGTTTTTTTTTTTTTTTGTGGTTTTTTTTTTTTTTTGTGGGTTTTTTTTTTCCTGACACACAAATCTAATTCAGGGAGAATTTAAATTCTCCGTTTTCTTCTGTTCCCCCTTTCCAGCCAAAAACCTGCGCTCTATCAGACAGGACTGCTAGGATCGCTTTCCCCCCCCCCGATCTGTCTTTCTCCATTTCTAGAAATAACTTTGGGGAAAAAATAACTATGCACCTGCTAAGAGTGGACACGAGAAACGGAGTGACGGGGATAAAGGGAAATCTCTCCTTTTGGGACGCAATAAGACAGTGGGTCGTGAATCAAACGTCTGCGTTAGAGCCGAGAGCAGTTCGCCGTTGCCAGGGCATGGGGAGATGCCTGCTCGCTTCGCTGGTGCTGCTACCTGAGCGCCTCTGTCTCCGGAATATCCAGCTGATATAGCTGTGGAGTGTACTCTGTATTAAAGCTTTCCTTTCACACAACCCTAACCTCCTGTATTTTCCTCGCCAAGAGATCTTAGTTCGTTTTGCAGTTTGCTGAAAAATGATCTGTTTGTATTTTCGTTGAGGTTTTTTTCTCTCCTGCTTCTGACACTGACTTATTGGCTCTGAACTTAGTGGAAACTCTCATTGCCCTGCGATCGATCCAAGTCCTTTCGTACAAATAGAGTTTTTCCCATCTCCCCCACCCTTCAGTAACACCTTCACACATCCCCTCCCAGCCCCATCGGCCGGGGCGCCGGCTGGCTTTTCCGCGTTCCCCGCTGAACCGGGGTTATGTTTTGCATTCTTTTGTTAGTCTTTTTAAAAACGCATTTAGGGTTTCAGAGGGGACGGGGGATATTTATCTTCTTCCACTAAAACCCGCGGGCATATATTGTTGTGTTCTTTCTCCATTTGTTCAGAACCCCTTCTGCACATGTTGCCTCTAAAGTTACCAGATAGCAATTTCTTCGGCAACTCCATGATAAATAATTCAAAGCACCTATTATAACTCGCATTACAAAGTATTAAAGGGCAACAGATGCAAAAAGATTAAAAATTAATAATTCAAATTATTGCAGTCCGGATATTTTTCACACGGGTTTGTTTTGTTTTGTCCCGTGGTTTTCTAAGATTCTTTCTATCAGAGCAGTCAGATATTTACGTGTATTTATTGCATGTAAGTGCCGGCAGCTGTATGTGCACAGACTCAGTCGTGCCGCTGTCGTACCGATCATGTCTGTGTGTCAAGAGCCTGTGCCCGCATCTCTTTAAATTGCCTAATAACAACCAGGTCTGTAGCTCTAGAAATACACTTTAGGAAACGAATCAAACGTTGGTGGGGTCGTTTTGTTTTGTTTAGGTTTGGTGTTCTTTTGCGTTTTTTCCCCCCTAATAGGAAGTCAAAAATTGGTCGGGAATCTCCCTGGAGTTTTTAAAAAATCAGCGACAGTGAAATGCCTCTTTCGTCTGCTGACATGTTTCAGATCGTACTGCAGCTGGAATTACTGACATCGCGTCTGGAAACAGATCGCACCGCTGAAAATTGAAATAATGGCTAAAGCACGGAGTGTTTGCTGTTAAAGCTCTCTGGAAATCAAACCTCACATTTTAAGGAATGTATTCTGGAAATCAGTTATTAGGAAACAGAAAGGCAGTTACCTACATCCGCGTTTGGGGATTTAATCGTGGGCTTATATTTCTGCACCTTCCTTCTCAAGGCAAAATCGGGATTTTTTTAAAGTTCAATCATTTCCATTTTCTATCTTTTCGATTTGTGTTTTATGCAGTGGGCAGGGCGTGTCCTCAAAAGTTTCGGTGTCAAAAGTTACAAATTGCTCTTAATTATTCATTTCCTGACTCAACATACTCTCAATCTCGGTTTTCTATTTGTATTTTTCCTTCTTCAATTTAGATCTCGGAATTATTTTCTCTCCTGCAGTTTAATTAAAATCACTGGAAATTCCTTGTTACAGTCCCTGGTAAAGGAGGTTTTCCACGTTCCTCCGTCCCCCTCTTAAGAAAACCTTTAAAAATTGAAAATGTAGCACGAATGCCCTTTCCTCTGTACCAGGAATGTATTTAAAATTCACACCGGGTATCTGGTAAATAAACCAGGAGGGATCGTGACTTCTTGGGAGCCTCCAAAGCCACTTCATCTCCCTGCCATACAATTGTCCTATTTTTCCCGCAGTCCAACCTTTCGCCAAACGAAAACGACTCACAGAACAGCCACCGACTAACCCGCCATTAATTCGAAACTGGCGTCTTCCCTCTCTGCCACCGAAATCCAAAATCAAAGCAAACAGCCTCGCATCGCGGGGAAATCTGGGGGGTTAAAGCCGCGGAGCTTTGCGGGGAGTCCCGGCCCGGCTGGGCACGGGCAGGGAAAGGGCCCGTCCCGGGGGCTGACCCGAGTCAGAATAAACTCCTGTTGTCTGAGGGGCGACGGAGAAAGTGTATTTGCGGAGCAGAGCTCTGGTTCGGAGGGGGCTTTCCTTAGCGCGCTCGGGGCGCAGCAGCGCTCAGCCCCCTGCCCTCGGACTGGGGGTCCTGGCCCCCGCCCCACTCCGGCACGGAGCTCTGCTCCCCTCAGCTCGGGGCTGCCCGGCATCCTCGCTCTGCAGCTCGGGCTGGCAGCATCCGTGCTGCCTCCCGACCGCCTGCCTGAGCCCGGTAGCGGCCAGGGTGAAAAGGTGGACCTGGAGGAGGATCAGGTGAGGAAGGATGGTTGGGGAAGGAAGAATGAAGGGATGAGAAAGGGACAGCAGCGGAAGGAGCCGGGCTCCAGTACTCACGGTGCATTGCTGAGAAGGGGTCTGCTTTGCAGTGCATATCCATGGGGAGGCAAAGGAAGGGGAAGAAATCGGCTGAAGCCGCCGTGTCGCCTCTAAAACTCAACTTCAAGACTTAGGGGAGAAAAAAAATTGAAAAAAAAAATAAAGGAAAACAAAACAAAACAAAAAAGCACACGAGGAGAGGAGAGGAGGGGAGCGGCGGGATGCGCTGGGCCCCCGGCCCGGCGGAGCGGGCAGCGAAGTACTTTCCGAGGGGCGGGAGGGCTGCGCCGGCCTTGGGGGAGTCAGCAGAGTCCGTGGGAGCGAGGGACTGGCGGCGCCGGGGGGCAGGTGGGTGTCATGGCTGGGAGGGCTCAGAGCATCCCCGGCGGCGGGGAGGGGGTGCCGGAGCAAGGTGCGGCCGGCGGCCAGGCGGCAGAAGGCGCAGGAGGACGCGGCTCTCCCTCCTCCTCCTCCCGCGGTCCGGGGCTAGTTCATTTAAGTTCAAAGCAGAGTAGCAATCCCCGGGAAAGCGGCGAGCGGCGGGCGGGCGCGACCCCTCCTCTCGGCCGGGCGGCGGATCCGGCGCCCGGCGGACTTTCGCCCGAGGTGGGAAGTGCTTGCGAGAAGCCGGGGCCGGAGACTGGAGCCTCCGCTCCCGGTGTGTGTCTCTCTAAAAGCCGCAGCGCCCTCAGCCCCCCGCCCGCCTCCCCGGAGATGGATGACTTGTCAGACAAAGGCAATAGATTCCGACACTCTCTGATTCGCCAGCGCGCCGAGCCGAGCGCGGCCAGGAGAGGAGAGGAGAGGGGAGAGGAGAGGAGAGAGAGGAGGGCCGGGCCGGCGGCGCCCGGCGCGGGGGGGGCGCTGCCTGCGGGACCGGCGGCGGGGGAGCCCCGGCCGCGCTCCGGAGCGCCCCGGGCCGTGCGTGCGCGGGGCGGCGGCGCCCCTGCCCGGCCCGCGGGAACGGACGGGAGCCCCGCTTTGTTGTCACGGCTCAGGATCCTTAACTCGCTTATTTAACACAAGCACACACGCCTTGCTAGTTTCACCTCCCTTCTCACGCTCCGCTTTTTTAACCGGAGACTTTGCTCGGTGTAAAGCGGGACAGGAGGGGGATTCGATACACATCAAGGCTTCCGTGGTGTGCGGCTTAGTGTGGGAGAAAAAAAGAAAGGAGGTGAGGGGGAGAGAAGAAGGAAAAAGGAGAGAGACAGAAAGAGAGGAATGTATAAAAAAGGAGAAGAAAGAAATATAAATAGAAGCCAGACAGAGAGAAAGAAAGAAAGAGACATAGGAAGAGCAAGCAAGCTTCTCGCACCTCGCACCTCTTAAAAACCAAGAGATTAGGCCCGTTTCAGTCATTGCAAAGTTTTCCCTCTCATGCATTTGGGGAAATAACAGCAAACCCAGTCTCACACTTTCCACATCTCTGCTGCTTCTCCCACTCTCTCTTCTCTCTCTCTCTCTCTTTTTTTTTTTTTTTTTTTTTTTTTTTTTTTTTGGTGTTAGAGTGGGATTTAAAAATTATTTTACAAATAAGTCTACTGCTAAAATAGACATGGCTTTGACCGAGCAGAGAAATATAGAGCAAGTAAGAAACACCTTCGTAGGGTAATAACCAGGGGCAGAAAGGCAAGACAGAAATTGCTGTGAGCTCAATTTTGATCTTCAGACTTGAGAGTTTACCATCACCTGAAATATACTTCCTTCTCTTTTCTTCCTTCATTCTTCCTATCCCTCTGCTTATCTGTCACAAAACAGCCCCCCCCGCTTTTTTTTCCCTAACCGCTTTAAGTAAAGAATGTCTGAGAGATCTTTATGAAATATTTTCCACTGTCTCATAAATCATTTTGGCACTTCAGCTGATGTTTTATCTTTCTCTCTCCTCTCTCTCTTTCCCTTGTGTGCAAAAAAAAAGGGATGATTTGGAAAAGCAAATTTTTTGTTACACCGCGGGGATTCCAGAGCAGTGAGTCCTGTGTGACTGCGGGGCTGCGCTGCGGACAGGCGCGGCGGGCACGGCTGAGGCGGCCCTGCCAGCGGCTCCTGCGCGGGCTGCATTTCCCACGGGACCGGGGCTCCGCGCTGCCCGCTCCGGGTCTGCCCAAGGCAAAGGCAGCGCTCCTTTTCTCCCGGGGAACTCCCGCCGCACGCCGGACTGAGGGCGGCCGCTGCTCCCCGCGGGCTGCCCCGCCGCCGGGCCCGGGCTCCCTGCTCACCGGGGGCACGCCTGGCTCTGACCCGCCGGCCGCAGCTCGCCCCCGCACGGCACGGCACGGCACGGCACGGCACGGCACGGCACGGCCCGGCCCCTGCGCGTCTGTCGGTGGGACGACTGTGGCTGCCGAATTGCCCGGGCAGCAGAGTCCCCTGTTCGCGGCGGGGCCGGGAGCCCGCTTATCGCCGCTGCCGGGAACCCCTCCCGCCACTCGGCGCCTCCCGCGCTGCCCGCGGCTGGAAACGGCCCTGTCACCACTCTCCGACCGGTCTCGGTCGCTTCTCGTTTTCCAGCAGTCACCCCGGCCTTGCTCCCTTCCGCCCCGGGCAGCCCCGGTTGCCCCGCGCGTTCGGGGCCGTGCTCGGGCACACAGCCGAGCACGGGAGGTGCGGGCAGGAGTCCCCGGCAATGCCGGGTGGCAGGAGCTCCCTGCGCCCGCACTAACACTTGGTGAGTTCATGGACCCCCTCTCAGAGATGCTCTGAGCCTTTGTGACTGACCATTGTACGGTCAGGATATAACAGCTTGGTGGTGGTCTGGGGCAGCCGGCGAACCCCAAACCTCTTCCCGATAATGTCTTTTGCCTTAGTTTCTTCACTATTTTCCCGTATAATTGAGAAGAAAGACAGGGATAGCAGGCTCGAGAAATGCAAAAAATGAGCACTCTGCAACACGAAGCCTGAATCCCACACACGGAGGTAACCCGAGTTAACCGGGGAGCCCTGAGCCTGACAGAACAAGGCAGCTTTCTGAGGAGAGGGAAGGGAAGGGAAGGGAAGGGAAGGGAAGGGAAGGGAAGGCTCTCTGCTTGCTGTCCCCTTCCCCCACCACACATACCACAATATCACCTGGTGCCCCTTCCCACACTAGACTTCCTGGAAGTATTGCTTTGTCAACATTTAAATCCACTGAACAATTTCTGCCAACCGAAATTAAAAATACCGGGCTGTCTGCGCGCCCCGGGTACTGCCGTGTGCCCTGAGGGACCGGGCGAGGCCGAGACCACGGGCCTCTTTCCACTCCCACAGCTTCCCATCTATTCCACTTCACGAGCCCTGTGTGCTTTTTTCCCTCTCCCACTTTAGATTAATCTTTTCTCTTTTTGAAATCTCTTTTCTTTTCTTTGCTTTGCCTTGCTTTTCCCTTTTTTCTCTCCTGCCTTTATTTCTTTTTCTCAAAGAGAATCTGAGGATCTCCCCCTTCTTCTCTAACCCAGCCTTCCCCCCCACCCCGCCTTCCCCCAAGCTAGAAACATTTACACTTCAAAAGAGACGGCCGCCTCTCTGCGGAAATTTCAAGAAAAATAAACTTTTGGAGGAGTTGCAATGATAGCCATCTTTCGATCTGCTTCATTAGTCGGCTTTCTCCATCTGATCAAGTCGAAATCTTCTCCATTGATCCTGTTTCCCACCCTTGGTTCCAATACACACAACCTCGAGGGTCCTGTCAGCTTCCCTTCGAAGTCATCTGAGTTCTCCCGAGCCGCCTTGGCTTCCCTAGCTTGCCGCCTCGCCTTGTCCCTGGGAGGCAGCTTCTACAGACGCTGCTCTCGGAAGCTGCTGCCCTGCTCCCCTCTGGCTCGGAAGGGCGCCGTGCCCGGGAACAATAGGGGTCGGGCGGAGGGGGAGCCCCCGGAGCGCTCAGGCCTGCAGCAAACGCTGTGCCTGCGACCGCAGCTGGCCCCAGAGCCGGCACTTGTGCCCACGTTGGTTCCCTATTTTCTACGCGTTGTCTGTGGCAAATTATGCTGGAAAACAGCTAAACGCGACCTATGGCCGCAGGATGCAGGACGGTGTGCTGTAGAGGTAGAAGTTTTGGATTTGTACACCGTGGAGGTGTCACTAAGTTTTCGGCTCCACACCCTGTCTGCCTTCTTCCCCTTGTCAAGTGCGCAAAGGCTTACAACCTAAATGTTGCTACTTTGGAGGTGATTTAGCTCAACCCTTAATATTCTCAGCACCATATTTAAGAATTCACAGAATAAACCTACGCTGACCATCTAGGTGTATTTTTCTGACACATAGTTTCTGCATCAACTAACTTAACTTTCAGCCTGAGAAAGTCGGTGGCGAAATCCCCGTCTGAGAAAAGATAGAGGAAAAAAAAGATAACACATCCCCCCCTGCCCAAAGATGTGAGCATTTAAGGGAAGGAGTCGGCATGTGTGTGTCAGAGGGATCTTCAGGAAGGGGACGCTTTGATAAAACATTCCTGGACGACTTTTTGCGTGCTTTGTCTGAGGAGAGGATGATTTCTGGTCTGAGATTTCTCGCTGCCTCTTGCCAACGAGCACCCAGATGAAAGGGGTACCCACATCTTCTCTGTATGGGTGCTGTGGTGTGATCACACCGGAGGGAGCGGCTGATGGGGCAGGGCGGAGGTGCCGAGCACTAGCGTGGAGACACGGGAACAGGACCCGAAGGGCGCGTAGGGCCGGGCAGGGCCGAGCAGGGCGGGGGGAGGCAGCCAGCGTCCGGCTGCTCCTCCCCGTGCCCCCCAGCCGCTCTGCCCAGAGCACCCGAGATTGCTCGTGGTGGTCGAGTTTAACAAATAAACACAAAGTTAGGTTTTAAACCAACAATTAATAAGAAAGAGGGCGCGAAAATAATAAAAGGCCCCCATCCTTCCCCTCCCCCTGTGTCTCCGAGCCCCTCTTCCCCTCTCCCTCTTTCTCCCCCTCTAAGCACCTCTGGTCACGTTGGAGGATGAGTTTTTGGAGAGCTTCTGGTACAATATGGAGCACCACGGGCTGCAATTTCACACTCCACAGCACATTCCCCCTAAAGCTACTTTCTTTTTTTTCCCATCTAAGACCCCCTCATGTCTCCCCCTCTCTCTTTCTCTGGCTCTTTTGTGAGCCATGGGTGGGTTGCATGTCTGGGGGACGCCGGGGCCGCGAGGAGGCCGGCGGCCGGGCCCTGCCAGCGGGGCGGGTGCGTGTGTGTACCGGGGGGGCTGCGCTCCCCCCTCGCCCTGCCTGCTGCTGGCTTTTCCCTTCTCTGCATTTGTTTGCCCTGAATGGTAATAGCCCACGTGTGCTGCTCTTTATTCAGTCACCGACACTTTAACCTCTCCTCTTTACAAGAGAGCGTTTGCCACAAAAACGAGACAAGCCGAAGACCTTTTGCAGCCTCATTGAGGGGGAAAAAAAGAATAAAAAGGAAAGAGGGAAAAAAAAAAAGAAAAAAATATAAAAAAGAAAGAGTGGAGGTTGGGGGGGAGAGCCAACAATGTGAAGAGACACTTCTGCAACAAAGCCGCCTCTCAGCGCACCGGGACGGCCGGAGCTGGGGCGAGCCTCCCGAGCACAGACACATGGAGACAGGGGCGGCCTCAGCACAGCCCGGCCCAGCCTGCCCCTTCCCACCCTCAGCAGGCAGGCAGGGAGCGGGCACACGGCTCCCAGCACCCAGCTGGGCTCTCGGTCCATCCCTGCCCCCGAACATCGCACCCAGTGCAGGCTGGAGGGGCCCCCGCTGCAAGGGGGGGTCCCCAGAGCTGTTTCCCGTCGAGGCGGCCTCCACGGGCCGGCTTCGCCCGCTCACTACAAAACTCCTGCCACCCATCTCTCCGTCTGTCTGTCCTGCAGTCCCAGAGCCCCTCTGGTCGTCTGCCTGCTCATTTCTTTGCCCCGGAGCGGCAGAGCGGGGGTGAGGACAGGGGGTTTCGTGTTGCTCCTCTGACCCAAAAACGAACTGGCCCAGATGTGAACCCTGCCTCTTTCGTGATAGGAGACTGAGGCACTGGCAAGGCCCAGCTGCCTCTTGCCTTTGCCCTGGGCTGCCTCTGGGGTAGAGGCGTGGGAGCCTCCTCCCCCCCACGCTGGAGATGTCTTTTTTTCTTTTTTTTTTTTTTTTTTTTGTCCTGTAATTTCTCCATAAAACTCCCGATGAGTGAATTAGACGCTTATTAAAGTCTCCTTTTAATCAGCAGTAGTGGGAGATCCTCCCTCCCTCTATCTGCCCGTCCAAGGTTAGTTTGCCTCAGGGCGATTTGCAAATGTTAGGATTTACAGTTATCACACGCAAAAACATTTATATAACCCCTAACTATAATACACCCATAAAAACGGGGAGGCAGCGAAAACTGCTGCGGATCAGCGAAAAACCCTATGGCTTGCCCATTAAAGTCCCCGGAAAGGGTAATTCCAGCAGTCAAAGGGGCCAAAGTGTGGTAATGACTGCCTGGGATTCACATCTCCAAAAATGATCGCACAGAAAGACCCGCCGGGGAGAGGGGCGACTGCTTCGCTCCACTCCCTCCGCAGGGCCGGCGGGGGAAGTTGGAAGCAGACTTCTTCACACATGCACTAGAAAGTGATAGCTATGCCTCCTTCCTTCCAAGCTGATCCCGAACAATTTCTGTACACACACAAATCCTCCTCCCCAGAGAAAGTTGCCGCGGTTGCGTTTCTGGCAGTGTTTCCCAAGCCCTGTTGTGAGCCCTGCTTCTGCCCCGCTTCCCTCCGCCACGGGCGGCTCTCCGCTCGGATGGGATGCGCCGGGAGCTGGGTCGGGGAAGGCAGGCTCGTTTCCACGGCTAAACAAAGGCTGGAAACGCACCAACAAAGGACCTGGCGCGGCCCCTCCGCCCCGTGCGGGAGCCGCAGGTGAGGCTGGGGCTCGCCCGGCCGGGCGCGGGGTCCTGCTTGCGGAGCAGTGCTTCAGTCGGCGCGGGGGGGAAGACGCGAGTCTGCAGGGCGTCAGGAGAAACTGGTCGTAAGTTGGTGGGGAAACTTTCTTCCCCCTTCCCCTCTTTGTGGGAAAGCCGGGCAAAGGGGGGAATTTAGCTCTCTCTCCTCCTGTGCCATTGGCAAAGACGGGCTCGCTCCTTCCCTTCCCTTCCCTTCCCCTGGAGCCGCCAAGGCTCAAGTTAGGCGCCTAATTAAAAAAGTGGCAGGAAGACTCATGCCTCTTTAACATCAGCTGCTAATGGCCTCGGAGTTTACTGCCTCTGAGGAGGAAGACACAGAAGGAGAAGCAGAGGGATGAAGTGTGCGGGGAAACGAGGGGCTGAAAGAAGTGGAGGGGTAGTGGAGGAAGAGAAAGAGAGACTAAAGGAAGGGTGGGGGAAACAGAGAATTCTAACTTATAAAAAGGAACTGGAAGGTGGAGGGGGCGGGGAAGGACTGAACTGTGAGCCGACACCAAATCCCTCCAGTTTCCCTGGCTGCCTCATCTGGGCAGCTCGTGCGGGATGAGGAGTCAGGGAGCAACTCTGCGGGCGCGGGAGAGTGGAACGCAGAGAGGAGAGAGGACGAGCGGATCCGGGATGGAGGGACGGACAGAGGGAGGGAGGTTTTCCGAGCGCGGAGCGTTGTTCCCGAGTGCCTGCCTTTCCTTCTCCTCACTCGGACCCTGGTACTTTCCTTTTCTCCTCTCTGAGGTTTGCAAACCAAACGTCACCAATCAATACGAACCCCGGCTCTGGGGTGCGTGTGTGCGTGTGTGTGCGTGTGTGAGCGTGGTTGTTGATCCTGACCTGCTGGACTTCAAAAATCTGCCTCTTCTGACTCCCTCCTAGCCTGTAAGTTCAGAATTACAACCTTCTACATCTATGCAAACTTTTATTTGTCGGAGAATTCTTTTCTCTAGGAGAAAGAGAAATTGTCACCATGTGAACGGCTGATTTCTGACACATGGGGCTTTACCCCTCCCCCAGCGTGGGGAAAAATATCTCCCGTGGATGTCTTTAACCTGTGCACAATCCATAACTTTGGCAATGTATATGTAGTGTTATTTCTGCAAGGCAGTTTTCCAGGGTTAGGGGAGGTGGTTGCATTTTGCTAAATGGATCCTTTGTGGTGAGTGCAGATTTATGCCCAGTTTTGATTTATAATTAAATTAGCTTCTAATTTGCAATATGTGCGTCTGTGTTTAAAATGTATCTAATCTGTGAAATTGAGGACTGGGGCACTTTAAATGAAAATCTACCTTTCGCCTCAAGGGTTTCTTTATGAAGGGATAGCCGGGAGGGCAGCGTGCAGCAGGAAAGTGAGGCTGTAATTTCCATTAGGAGATGTCAATCAATCTTTCTTTTCAATACATCAATTAATAAATCCGATTGGTGCTGCGGGCTGCTCCCCCGCTCCCCGCCCCCCCGTCCCCGAGGCGCTCTTTTTTGGCCGGATGGGGAAGTGTGAGGGGAAGGCAAACTTTGGCAGGGAAGTCCCCGCAGGCAGAGCCCGACCCGACCCGCCCTCCCCCCTCCCCTTCTCCCCCGCTCCGGCCCTGCGCGGGGCTCCGGGACCGGCTCCAGCCTCGGCGCGGCGCTGGGGGCGGCAGGCGAAGCCGGCGGGACTCCCTCCGTCGGCTCTCGGGGTTTGGCAGAACTAAATTGACACAACTTGGTGAGATACGGTCAATTTTTTTCGCCCCGATAGTGGGGGTGTGGACACGCGGTTAGATCTGGGCCCGGGACCCCCCGTCTTAGTTGATTTATATTTAGGCTTCACTTATTTAAGCGACCCTCCCCCACCGTCCCACCCCACGCAGCTCTAACCCGGGCGATAGCATCATCGGTTTCATTGGTTATTTTTCAATGGAACCGCAACCCCTAGCTTTAATTTTTCACAATTAAAAAGCGGCCGGGATGGCGGGGAACTCCTCCAGCCTGACAGCTCGCCCTAGCTCTCCCTGCTGCTAGCGTGTGCTCCACACCTACAAATAACCGCGGAAATGGGGGAAAGAGGGTATTATTGCTATTTTTTTAAAACGGGCAAATGCAGTAATGCCTCTAATTTAGCAATTACACCGATTCTCCTTTATTTTCAAGTGGCGCTGGTCGTTCAGCAGAATGTCACCGTGGTGGGCAGGCGGGTGGAAGCCCGAGGACAGCCCGGCGCAGGAATGCCCAGTGCCCACTCGGGGAAAGTTGGCCTGGCAGGGACAGGGCAGGTGTGGGGAAGGGGGACAGCGCCAGGACAGGGAGGCACCGAGGGCCTCCCGTTCGCTCTCTGCTCTTAGAGCTTCGCAGTCAGGAAAACCGGACAAACAAAACTAATTCAATGTGTCACCTCTCCCTGACAGAACACACGCAGTATTTTGTAAAAATCCAGCTACAGAAAGGGCTGACTTTCCTGAACCCACGACCAATGTAAATAAGATGCTTAGAAGGAGGAGAACATCCTCAAACTACTCCGTTGTCATCGTCATCATCATCATGTCCGTTTGATTTAAAAACAGCACGATAGGGAGCACGCTCTCACTGAACGCTGTCTCCTCAGCTTTCTTTTTTTCCTCCCAATCACACGGCTTTGTACCCTCAGATTTGCGGGTTACTGCCGCCGGTTTGAGTTGCTCGACACAAGCAGCGTTTTGAGTGTCTCCAGCGAGAGGGGGAACTCTGGGTGAACAGAGGGCTGCGAGCGGGAGCACGGGGGCTACGGGGCTGAACTTCGGGAAGGAATGAAGTAAAAAGAAGAGAGAGAGAATGAGAGAGTCTCCCAGGCAGCTCGATCCCATTAGCTCCGTCCTTGGGTTGCATATTTATACGGTCTAGGAGGTGAACAGATGGACTATCAATTTAATTCCATCTTCAACACCATCAGAGATTGATTTTCTACTCGCTTTTAATTTTGCCATAATTAATTAGATCATTACAACTGTTTTCTATTGATCTCCCTATTTAAACCTCAGATGCAAAGGGACTTCGGCAGATCCTTTAAAAACACAGAAGGGAAAAGGAACAGAGGGGTTTGCAAACTTTCTGAAGGTTTTTTTCCAGTTTTGACTTAGAAGATTTTTAGTGCAGAATAGCAAAAAATTGCCTCTGTGGCCTTTTCTTTTAGGAGGCCCTTTTCGTTGCCTTTGTAATTTTCTTTCATGTTTGGTGAATCTTTGTCATATTTATATATAGTATACAGCATATATAATAGATTTAATTGGTTCGATTATGAAAACATAAGCTTGCACATGTATATGCATATATATATATTCACACACAACGTGTTTAAAATTGAGATTTACAGAGGTGGTGCACACACATTTATATATGGGGAAACTATCGATTGAAGAGATGTGGTTTTCTGAAGGGCGAATATTTTTATTTGCCTCCCGTACGTGTCTCTCTGTTTGTGCACTTGAATCCCTCTCTAGGTGGGGGATATTTCACCCTGCGACTCCATCAGAAATGACAAAGGAAAACCAGCGCTGTTAGCTCCGGTTCCTAGCCTCGGTTCCCAGCGCTCGCCGCAGCCTTTCTTTTCCAAGCCTCCCCTGCAGCAAACGACTGGCAGCCGGGGCAACAGCTCGGCTCTGTGCTGACAGTCGGTGAGATTTGTATTTTAAACCTCTATGTTCTTTCTCCACCCCCCCCCCCCAAAACAAAAAAATCCCTTACTTAAAAGCTCTGTTTATATACTTAATTTGAGGGAACCAAACCGCGTAATTGTGCTTTTACCGCGAGCGGCAGCGCCGAGGAAAACCTCTCCGGCGGGGTTTGTTTGAAGCTTTGTTTGCAAATCATAAAATTGCTGACTGGGAGACGGGGGCGATCCGGAGACGCGTCCGTCGGCGGAGCAGGTTTGGGGGGCTCGGAGGCAGCCCCCGCTCGGGGGCTCGGCAGCGCCGGCCCCCGCCCGCCTCAGCCCCGCGCTTAGCCCGCAGAGCCCGGCACGGCGCTGGGCTGCCCGCGGGCCCGAGGCGGGACACGCACATCCAGAGCCTGCACGGCGAGCAAAGTTTCCCGGGGTGGGGAGGCAGTCGGTGGAGGAAGAGTTTAAGCAATGCCCTGAACTTTCTGCGGACGGGAGGCACCTCCGGGGCTGGGGCAAATGGACAAAGGCCGGTGCAGGGGGCTGGCTCGGCCGCCCGGGGCGCCTGGAGGGCGGCGAGGCAAAGCGCCCGGGGCCGCTGGCGGTCGGAGCGGCTCGGGAGGGGAGGGAGCGGGGCTCGGCCCGGCGCTCGCTCCGTCTGGGGCTCCGCTGCGGGTCCTTGCCAAGCTGCCGCGGTAAACACCCCAGCCTTTCGAGGGGTGCTGGAGCGCACACCCGTAAGGAAAAGGGGTATTTTTCAGGTGAGATAGCAAGTGCTAGAGGGGGATCTGGCGAGGTGAGGAGGGTGTGCGTGGAGGAGAGCAGAAGCAGGCTGCCTCTTGCCAAAGGAGGGAGTTGGGGGTGACGGTCTCATCCCTCCCTGCTGAATATTCAGCGCCCCCCCCGCCTTACCTGCTCTCCCTGAGCTCTGAGCCATGGCTCCTCTGCCTAATGGCCCGTCTCCCCGGGACGGCTGCAAGCCAGTAGATCCGCCGCGGCCTTTTCTTCGCTTCTCTCCTCCCCGCTTGGGTGTCTTGCTTTCCCCCGCTGACTTTCGAGATCTAGGCGCAACCACCCAAAACTAAACGGTTTAGATAACAACACACACACACACACCAGAGCACCACCACCACCAAAAAAAAAAAAAAAATAGCCAGCCATAGAGAAAGAAACGCCGCTCTACTGAGCCGGGACAGGCTAAAAGGAGGGGAAAATAAATAACAATCAAAGCAAATGCAGCGCTGCTGCTTATAAAATTGGAGAGGGGCTCACCTGCTCCAGTCTACCAGGGCTGTGCAGCCAGGGAGGAAAGGGGCTGGGGGGGTCCCGCGGGGATCCTGCGGGAGGGGGGACAACGCCTGGACTTTGAATCTGCTTCCCCTTGCCCCCCTCCTTCAAGCTGGCTACCTGTAGGGAAGTCTTGTTGCAACAGCAGATTAATTTGTTGTCTTATTACCATAAAAATGTGCTCGGAGAGGGGCTGGCGAGGGAGAGGGGGACGCGGGACAGAGGAGGAACTTCCTCCAAGTTGAAAAGGGAGGCGGTGGGCTCAGGCTGAGGGGGGGAGCGCGCCGGGGACGGGCGGGGAATTGGTCTGGATGGTGGCGCAGCCCACCCGGGAGCTGGCAGCTCTCAGCTCGGGGTCCGGGCACACTCCAGTTGGGGTGGCGGGGGACGGGGATTCCGCCGTTTAGTTTGGAGGCGACAGAAGGCAATCCTGTGAAGTCTACCTCTGTAGAGCGCCTAGCTTTCTGCCTCTGAGAGATTATTTATCCGTCGGTCCATCCATCCATCCATCCATCCATCCATCCATCCATCCATCCATCCATCCATCCATCCATCCCTCCACTTATCCGTCCACTCGTCTCTTGTCTTGCTTTTACGATCATGTTTTGGTAAAGGCTTTAGGACTGAAAATAAATAAATAATAAATAGAACAAAGCTCTAAAGAAAAGAAGAAAAATTCCCAGTGCTAAAGACATCACTGAACGAATATTTTTCTTTCTCTCTTTCTACTCCCCCCCTTCTATCTCCCCATTGATTGAAAGTCTCTCTCAGCTCCAACAAGGAGTCCCAGGAAAAATGAACCATTCTGCTATCGATTCTTCATTAAAATTACATTTCTGCATTTGCTAAATTGGTTTTAAAAAGCTTCCCCTGTTATTATTGTCTTGTCAGAGCCGGCGGTGCTGGGCAAACAGTATTTAAAAGCTTGGGACCTCTCCAAGATGAGGCTGTTGGGGGTTATGTGTGTGCATGTGTTTCTTTTTCTAAAGTGTTTAGGAAAATGTTAACAACGCGGACTGGCGAAAAGCACACCCCAGACAAGTGGAGAATTGTAAAAATAAGGAAGGCGGAGGGAACGCTTTCCTTCATATCACTTAAAAATCATCGATTGCCTCTTCAAGCAAAGAAAAGAAAGTTTCATTTTAAATATTAAAATGGGGCACCAAAAGTCAATAATTGCAGCAACGAGTATTTGCCTCTGACGCCTTCTCCAGCCCGGTCTGCAGCAGCCGCTGGATCTGTCTGGAGTGGCTCCGCAGCTCCCTGCAGCCCGAGCCCAGCTCGCAGCCGCGCTGAAACGCTTCCTCGGTGAGATGTTTAAATAAGTCCAGCTAACCCTGACACAGGCACCAGACTCCTCCGGCCTTACCCCAACAAACCCCACGGAATCCCCGTCCTCCCTCCCCGGACTGGTGTGGGAGAAACCCAGAAGGGACTCTGGGAGATTTACTCTGAATTCTGCAAATCTCTCTCGAAAGAGCAGGGAAGCAGAAATGTCTTCCTGATGTGTTTATCCCCTAATCAGTTCATTAGTTATAAACAACATGACATTAGAAGTTAGGAGGCAGTTGATATTAATTTTTATTTAACTAGTTGATGTTTAATCCGTCACGCCAGACTGCTTAGAGAGAGCTGCCTGACACAAACCAGTTAGAACTTCATACACCGCGATGATCGGCCGGGCACTGGGACAAACAAACGGCGGCGGGGGGGCGAGGGGCAAGGCAACAGAAGGGAAGGGAGCAAGGGGGAGAGGGGTAAACCCGTGGAAGAGGGGGAAAAGCAGCAAAAGAGACTGGAAAATTCCCCTTTCCCTGTATGAAATGTTCGTGTGAATCAGCAGAGAAGGGAAAGGCGGGGTGGGGGGCGAAGCATGAAAAATACCGTCAGGAGGCTGAGCGGAGTGGGCCGAGAAGGGCAGGTGCCCGTGGCAGCCACCTCTGCGGGCCAGGGGCGGGTCGGCGGGCGGCCCGGGGGCTTGGGGCGGCAGGGCTGGGGCTGCCGGGGCTGCAGCCCCTGGGGGGGTCGGGCAGAGCGGGGGTACCGCCAGCAGAGTCCTCTCTTAATTAAAAGGGGCACAGGTTAATTAGCGCGAGGCTAGCCGAGGGAGAACAGCAGCACATGGCGGGGCCGGGATAAAAGGGAACCGGACTTTTCCCGGTTTCCCGGTGTGTAATAGTCCTGTTCGGTGTCAGACCGCGACCTTTAACCTAGGAGCGCAGGTGCTGCTACAGATAAAAGGAGTGAACCACTATGAGTACCTTAATGGACACACGACTCTTCCTACCTTAAAGCTCTGCAAAACTATAATCTAACGAGAGTCTAGAATTGCAGACTTCCCTGTTAAATTTTCTCATTTCTCTCCTTGCAGCAAACTGGTGCCCCACGAATGGTTGCAGTGTACCTGTTTGGCTCTACACCATCTCTATATACGTGAATCTCTGCTCTCTACCCAGCCGACACGTTGGACGCCCACCCTCGCATTTGCTCCCGAGGGGAGCGCCAAGCATTATCCCAACACCTTTCGCTTCTGTGGCGGGATCCCCGGCGTTTCTTCCCCCCCCGTGAGTACTGCTGTGCGCCTTCAGTGTGCCCTTTCGCTCAGCACTGTTCAGATGTATTAATGCGAGCTGTTATAACTATATCTGCATGTATTTCACAATTAAAACATTTCTTGGCGAACCAGGAAAACCCGAGGCAGCAGCTGGGAGCGTTGCTTGCCCTGGACGCCTGTTCCTCCTTGCGGCAGTAGCCGTGAGACTGAGACTACGGGGAAAGTGTTCTACGACACATATTTTAATATCAGTTTCCATATTAATCAATCACCTCAAACATCTATCTGCTGGATAAAGGAAATAGTTCGCATTCCGAAGAAAATTGCCTGCTTTCCTGCAGTTAATAGTTAACTCCGTAATAGAAAGTTCCCAGGGAAATGCGGAGGCAGAGGGAGCGCGGCTCTCCCTGCTGCCAGCCAGCACCGGCCGCCGCTTCCCCCCGGCCGCTCGTTCCACGGGAAAATCTCCCGGCTCCTCCGCTGCGGGCTCGGGCTCCGGCTGCCTGCTCCTTTTAGCAAGGAAACCAGGAGGGAGTGTTTTAAGGAATAAACTCCTTGATGGGGCTGTGGTGTGCAAAAGGGAGGCTCACAGGCTCTTTCCCCATAGTCCGAGACAGAAAGTGGTGCAACAGGTAATAGGGCAGACACTAGAGACACGGGGAGCAGGGATTTCCAGTGGCGGGGGGAAATTCACGCTGCTTGGCTGTTTGGCTTGAGAGCATTGTCAGGAAATGGGCGCCTTTCCCTTCGTCCAACGTCTCCTCTCCCTTTCTCTGAGGCCGGGTGTGCTTTGAAGGGTGGAGGGGATATTAAAAAGACGACCTGTGGAGGAGCGGGCAAGGGAGGCGCAAGGACAGAGGCGAGGCTGGACCCCGGCCGGGGTCTCCGGCACTCGGAGGCTCGTCCGGCCGGCAGCCGTGCGCGGGCAGACACAGCCCTTTCCCGAGAGTTTCGGGGTGACTTCAGAGGTGCGGGATGTCCGTGCCGCTGCCTCTCTGCCCCGCACTGTTGCCTTAGTGTTGGGCTGACCACCTGGTGCTTTTTCATGGTGATGGCGGAGCGGGGGAGGACAAAGGGAGAGGTGAGAGGAGCAGGGCAAGGAGTGAGCCTCTCCCCTGTTCCGGGGCTGTCCGTAGAGGCTGTGAGATGAGCAGGAGCACTTTGAGCTACCAAAGTTGCAGGGATGCTGCTGGCAGGGGAAAAGGCTGCCTTTCCCGTGGCTGAGCTAGTGTCAGAGCAGCGGAGTGGGAAAGGGTTTGCGACAGTTTTGGGGTGGGTGGGGCGAATGCCCGGGGGCGGTGGGTTAGGGTTGCCGTAGCATGGAACCCTCCCGGGGGGTGCGCAGGGGCTATCGCTGCCTTTCGGTCCCTCCGGCGGGGTGCCCGGGCTCCGGCGGGGGTGGGAGGGATGGAGCCAGGCTACGTCGGTGCAGGGGCCTCGGCGGGAAGTTGCCGACCGGGACGTGGCGCAGGGACGAGTGGGCTGGGCGGGCGTGCCCGTGGCGCCCCGGGGCACGAAACCAGGCCGGCTGCGGGAAGCCGGGTCCCCCGCCAAGACCAGGCCGGGAGCTGCGGCACCGGCTCGGGGGCAGCCGGGGGAAGGTGCCGCTTCCTTGGCTCGGGGCTCCCGACGCCCCAGCGGCAGGGCGGCCCCGGGCCGGCTCCCGGCAGGGCGGCCGGGCCGCGCGTCCCGCCAGAGGGGGCAGTGCAGATCGGCGGCACCGGCCCCGGCCCCGGCCCAGCCTGGGTGCTGCCCCAGCCCCGGAGACGGGCACTGCAGAGCCCTCGCTGCCCTGCCGTGACGTTTACATTCAAAAGCGCTCCCCAGAATGTTTCTACGGCCCGGCTGGTGGTCCCCGTTGGAGGGGGCGGCTGGCAAAACCCGGCGGAGTCTCTCGGGGTCGGGGCTACCGCGCCCCCTGCGCGGGGCTGGGGGCAGATGGGTGGCAATGCTCTCCCGAGAGCTGGGGAGACGTCGCTATGAATCTCTTATTCCTCCTCCAAGTAGTTAAACACAAGTTTCTATCTCAAGGAAGAGGACCCGGCAGCCAGACGGCCTGCGGGCACCCTCTTAGGGACAGCCTGGGTCCGCAGGGCCGGGAATCTGGACGGGCAGGGAATCTGGAGAGTCCCAGCGTGGATTAGGTTAGGAATCAGGGAGGTGGACATGTAGGCGGGGGTCTTCCGCTCGCTGTTGCCAGAATTGGAGAAAAGGAAAGGAAAAATGGAAGATCACGTAAAAACCACGAGAGACTGTGGCAGCAGAGCATGCCCCGTGCCAATGTGTAAAAGAAGGTGAAAATAAAAGATGCATGGAACTAAGTGAGAAGATGGAAATCAGGATGAATGGGTAGACAGAGAGACCGACATTGATCTTTAACAATATTAGGGAAAAAGGTCTGAATAAAGAAGGGAACGTTTAATTTGATGATGAAAGGAGGATGGATGGATGGATGGATGGATGGATGGATGGATAAATGAACAGAATGGGCGAAAAAATAGAAAATATGAGAAGAGGAAATTAACCCCCCACCTTTCTAGCGTTTGTGGACGGAAAGAAGTGAATGAAGGGGCAGAGGAAGAGAAAGGATAAGAGAGGAAAGGATAAAAGGAAAATAAGTAAAGAGTAAAGAGATTTTTAAGAGCCGTCAAACACTTGGTAGACATGAGAATTAGAACAGAAAAGCTGAAACATTTATGGCAGCCTGTGCCGAGGTGATTTCCCCATTGGCATTTTATGGAGCTCCTAAATCTCAGCTTTACGCTGTTTTGAGCTGTAAGAATTATTTTCCGCCGCACTTTTCTTTTTTAGGTTCACTTCCAGCTTCCATTGCGAGTGCCCCGGAGCAGCTGCCCCCAGAGAAGCCCCTCCCGTCGGGCCGGCGGGCGCTGCTGGCCCCTCCGCAGCGCGGGGGACGCGGCCGCTCCCGGCTCCGCAGCCCCGGCCACCCTCGGTAGCCCGGGGGTCCCGGGGGTCCCGGGGGTCCCGGCAGGAGCGGCTCGCCGGTGTGGGCCGGCGCGCAGAAGCAGCAGTTCCCGGCACTTCGAGGGAAGGGAAGAGGCTGCTTTTCCCCCGGGCAGGGGAGGGAGCCAGCGGCGGCGCGGCTGGGCTGCCTTGCTCCGCGGCTCTTGCCGAGTGCTGGGGAAGGGCTACGGAAACAACAAAAAATAGACCTCGAGGCGCAAGAAGTGAGGAAGCAGTGGTTCTCCCTTCCCAGCCTGTCCTTACACGCCGTCTCCACGTCGGTGGAAAACTCCAAACCTCGGTGGAAAACTCCAACACTCCAGGCACTAGTAATGATAAGAGGAACAATAATGACAACAATGATAATGTGTTTCCGTATATTAAAGCATAGAAAATAAATATCCTCCTATATCCGCTGCCTCCCTGCTCCCCGGATCTCTTGAACGCACTGAGTTTTCAGTATTTTGGATGCTGGAGTAGGTTTGAGAGAGGAACATTGAGTGGAAGAGTAAAATCCGGGGGAGACGTAACTCGTGTGCCTTTCACCTTTTCCCGGGAACACAACCATTGTCCTTGTGACAAGAATCTCTGTTATGGTCTGGGAGCTGTAGAGAAAAGGGAACTTTGCAGGTCTGTCTCCTAACTCTGCTGCAGGCAGCTCCCCCCGCCTGCCCCCCTTGCCCCGGCAGCCCCCGGGCTCTCAACCAGTTGATATAAAAGTGTGTGGAGGGGGATAAAAGTTCCAGTCTCTCATGAGGGGAGAAGGCTGCAGGGGCAGAAGCAAGTTAATTTCCAGCCGATTTCTCATTACTCTTCTTAACGCCTGTAAGGGAGAGAAAATTAGGCACACAGCACACGTTTTGGCCACTTCATAAAAAATGCAGATTTGAGAGATGATGTGAAATGTGCCCTGGAGTCAATGATTAAAGATAGCTGACTACATTTTTTTTTTCTATTTGGAGTTGAGATGAGAAATGCCCCTGAGCTCTGTAGGTCCAAGAAGGGTCCTTTAATAACTGATAAATTGGCCCAAGAACTCCCTCTTCCCCTCTCTCCTTCTGCCCCCCCTCCTCCAGTCCACTCCCCGCCCTATACCCTCCACCGTCACACGTCGTCGACCGTCAGGGGAGAGATGCAATCCGCTGCTCTTCGCCCGGCGATCAGTAGGAATCGCTCTCGGGGGATTATTTCCCGAGCGGTCCATGTGCCTGGACAGGGCCAGGCGTGACACCCCAGCGAGCGAGTGCGGAGGGGTGCGGCCACTCCTGCCTTGTCCCACTCACTCGTGCCAGTAACTTTCGCTCCCCACCATCCCCTTAGCTTGTCAACTTTGTCTGCGAATGGGCCAAGGGACAAGAGGTTCTGATTCAACAGCATTAAAGATTTGCACTTAGGAATACTCGATGGAAGAGATGGCCATTCTGAAAAGAGGCATTTTCCCATCTGCTTCGAAGGGAGAGAAAGTTAAAGCTAATGGCCACAGGCATCTCTGGCAGTTGTCATCTCTACTCGATTGTCAGAAGCTGAGTCTTCCTCCAAGTTTCCTAAGAAAGTTTTGGCATCGACGGATGTCCGTATAAAGAGGAAGAACTCGCCTCCCCCTGCCACGGCCACTCCTAAGCGGACAAAGAAGCGTTTGCCGAGCCCTGCCAGGGGGAGGTTTAAGAGCACAATGAAGGGAAACTGTCAGGGAGAGCCCTGATCTGTCTCTTCCCTGCCTGGCGTCGGAGCTTACAGAACGCCCGGGCTTCCAGGCTGGCATTGCCGGTAAAAACAGGAGTTAGGAATGCTGAGGGTGGGGCGAAGGAGAGCAGTGCCCTCCAAAAGGGTGCTTCAATTTCTTTCTCAAAAGCATCCTTCCCTGCGGTCCCCATCACAAACTTGAGAGGAAGAAAAAATAGAAAGGGAAGATAAGAGAGAGGGGATGGGGGGATAGAATCAAAGCTTTCCAGCCCGCTGGAAGAAGAAATGTGTATTTCTTTTTTCTAAACACTTCTAATTTTTCAAACCAATTGAAAATAATAAAATGTATAAAGAAAGCAGGGATGCAGTTTTCCAGAGCTCAGCTGCTGAATAACTCCTCATCAGCCGCACCGATTTCTTTGATTAATCCCGAGGTCTGAAGTGGAAGCAGTTCCAGTGTGATACCTTACACGCCAATATGCTTCTGCTTCCCTACTTTGTTAGACTCGTTTATGCGCATTTTTTAACAATAATTTCGACTCCTTTTCCCCTTAATAAATCCATTTTTTGAAGCGGTACCTGCTTTCTAATTGCCCTGAATAAATACCTCTCCCCATCTCCGCTTTCCTAAGTC